TAAAACCAGCTATTTTTCGTTTCATTTTTACATTTGTGTTCAACCTTTTTCTGTGTAGGTACTAGTGTCTGTGTTGGGGTAAAAAAAATGATGTTATAACCACGTAGATATATTTACGTCTGATGAGGCAGGGTATATTATAGCTTTCTTTGCCATTTTTCATTTTTTTTTTTTAACCTAGAGTCTGCGCAAATGAAATAATAGTAAGAGCAAGCAAAGGACGAGGAGATTTCGCCATGCAAAGTTTCACGAGGCGGAATGGTGCTTTGAGCTGAATGGAGGGCTCGTTTTTGTATTTTCAGTTAAAATTTATGATGGCGAAATGTTGCCCCGTTCCCTTTGTGTGCACGTCTCTGTAGTTTTTTTTCTTCGTCTCTTTGTTGTTTGGCGCTTCGTTTCAGCTCTTATATATATTATTGAAATATTCAATCCTGGGATACTGTACCAAATGAAAAAAGTAATCTTTTAGTAAAAAGGATCTTACCCCTTAGCGAATTTTTTGAGTTTTACCACACTGAACGTGTTATTTGTACTAAAAATTTTTTTTTTCTTTTTTAATGCCATTTGTAAAAATGATGGAAGCTAGACTTGATCCAGTAATGATTTTAGATTAAGCTGCTGTTTAATATAAATTTTGTGGATGGATTAAAAAAATTATGGAATACCTAATTAATGAATTTTTTAACATGATGAATTTGCCGTAAAGCTCGAATATTCGCGTATTTTTACGCAAAAAAAAGTTTTATTTTTTTTCCATTTGAGCTCGTAATTCGGTTTTAATATTTTATTAAAGCTAGTCATAGTTAAATTTGACTGAAGTTTTAATGATGCTGTGTTATTAAACAATGTCAGTTGTTGTATTTCAAACTCTAAAATTGATGGGTCTTGTAATAATCATAATAATAATGTAATTAATAATAATCACAATAATAATAGTAATACGTGATGTAGAAATAGTTAATTATTTCCACCAATACTAAAAGCTTAATAATAAAATACAACACGGCCTGATCCTCACTCGAGTCCTCGTGAATTTCTTTTTGTAATTATTCATGTCAATTCGAAATTGCAGCGGACTAGGATATATATAAATTCCAGAATATATAAATTCGGTCCATGAATAATGAAAATTTTTTGTCGAGCGAGAATACAGCTGTTGCGAAAAATTCAATTATTCGGTGTAAGTGCAAGGTATATCGAAGTGAAGCACAAAGTGGACAAATTTGTTAAAAACATACACTCAATCGATACACCTAAGTGCCGTTGATTCGTTAAAAACGTGAAATCTGCTGCAGTACAGCGTAGTAAAATTTTGACACGACCCGGGACCATAGCTCCGGCAATGGAAAGAGAAGAGCCAAACTAATTTTTACGCGATCAAAACATTCAGAGCTAAAGAGCTGTTCCGCGCAGCCATGCAAGGTATACATATATTTATATGTACACATTATTTATACACGGAGCAACTGTATGATTATAGGTGTACTGCTCTCGACCCACATACCGATGATCCTCGGGCGGCTGCAACGACGAGCAAAGTAAAGGATACGCTCTGTGAGTTGCCTACGGGGTACATTCGCATAATAGGAACTAGCTCCGAGAGAAAGAGAAAAATGAAAGCTGGAAATGAGAAGACTCGGCAAAGTGTGGTGTTAGCCGCGAGGCGTGTTACACACTATCTATGGTAAGGGAAAAGCGGTCCAGCTTAATTACTCAGGGGAGCCCAGAGCCATTCCCATGTCATATTTTCTTCTTCTGCATAAAATGAAGTAAAACTTTACTGTGTCGAAAAATAATCAATATCTGCTGTGCGTCACTGCACCAGCGAGGTTGTTGTGGATACCAGATGAGAGCAACTTGAACTATATATTTTTATATTTCTCCTACTGCACACCTACAATTCTATACATGCACGATAAGGACAGGCTTATATAGGCTTACATATACTTATACCTACAGCAGCTTAAGTATAACACCGTCGAGTAGGAAACTGACAAAATGGCAAAGAGGCGGACGAAAGTGCAGTGCTGGTGTATATGATGATTAGGGTTCGTATGAGTAGGTACCTACCTATAGGAGAGTAATGTGAAAAGAAGCGAGCCGAGAGAGAACGACTACTCTCGGGTGTGACTATATTCTGCCCGCCCGACTGCAGGGGTTTTTCTCTGGCTTTCGGTCTATTGTCGTCGTGGCTATGCGCAGATTTTTCTGCAGATGCTGCTCTCCGAGAGTCACGTCCCACTTTTGGCCCCGTCGCTGGCGCAAGCTTATCTACACGTGCTGCACGATTGTTTTCGAGGGATACACGATGCAACGAGCCTCTCTCTCTATCTCTTCCTCATATGCGCCGCGCTGTTGGCAAAGGGTTATGCATAATAGCCCGTTTCAGCGTTTCTCCGTATTAATATTTTGCCACAAAATGAAGTGTATTCCGTGAAAGTGGTGATAGCAGCAAATTTTTCCATCAAAGATGGATAGTTTCAAAAAAATCTACTCTTCCCCCCCCCCATATTTTTGTACATGATTAACGCTTGAAAAATTTGTTTTTTGCACATTTGATGACAGGCTGACCATACGAAGTTTTAAAATCTCGTATGGGTGTACATGTGTGGGAGGAATAAAATATTCCATTGAACAGAGTTTTACAAATTTTATACCTTTGAGCCTCCACGCGCAACTGAAAGTTATGTATTAAAAAAAAAAGGTTCTCTACATAACATTTTGTGGCAAATTGATCAGATAAAATCTTAAGCCCTCAAACGATTATACGCTGAAACGAGACTTTTTAAACATTTTTGATACTCGTTGCCCATCACCATTTGCCTCCCCCCCCCCCCTTCTCTACTTCCGCCCGATTATTTCAAGTACAGAAGCATTGCCATTGTCTCGTTCGCGCGAATTTGTCAATCGAGAAAAAAAAACCTTGTGAAAAAAAAAAAATAAAAAATAAAAATAACAAAAAAAGGGGGAAAATGGCGTTTGTCTAGCAAACAAGTTTATTTCAAAAAGAAGAGAGGGAGAAAAAAAATGAAGAGAAAGCAAGGGTGCATTTGAGTGAAGCGTATATCCTCAATGATGTAGAGGAAACTCGTAAGTTTCGGCATACAAGTAGGTACGGAAGCTGAAATTCCGCAAAAGTATCATGTCCGCGAGGAAGGGAAAGCCGAGAAGTGCGGAAGCGAGACGGAATAATATCGAGAAAGCCAGAGGAGAGAAGATAGGATGGAGCGACCTACTTGGAGCGGAGTTTTTTTCCTCGCGATATTTCGGGGCAAGAGCGGAAACGAGCGTTTTCCGGCGTGCAGGCGCGCTCCACTCGAACCCAATATAATTTTCAAAGAGATTAGAGGAGCACCACCGCCGCGAATCGAATTCGGAGCCGCACGCTCGAGCGCCCTCCCCCCCTACCTCCCCAAAGATGAAAAACGAAGGAAAAAAGCGGATAAGTGAATACAGAGGAAGATCTCGGCGATAAGCGAGTTACGTAACGAGACTGCTTCTTCGCTCCTTGGGGGAGGAAGCCGGGATGTCTTCGTCCGTGTTTACGGCGAGTCGTGGATTTCGCCAATCACGGGCACATGGCGTCCTGCCAGTGGACAATACCGAACCGTTGCTCCATATAGGTACCACCGCTTCATTATTAATTAATTATCGTCATTTTGTACAAACTACAAACCCCCATGATTTTTTCATGCCGTCGCTAGCTACACATATATGTGGATGATCACTCAAACACACTCGCGTCACGTACGCTTCCCTTATAGGTACACATGATATACTGCATTTCGTCTCGCGGAATCAATATTTATCTCGCATGGGTAAATATATTTTATGCGCCAGCATAATACTAATATATAGTGTACGTTGTATTTGGAGCATTTTATACTGCATCCCGAAATTGGTAAGTTGAATGGATATAACACGGCTGCCAAGCGCTACATCTCCGTTACCTTACCGTTACCTCAGGTAATATACAACTAGTTGAAAAATAAAAGAATATAATATAGTGATGATGGACTGAATTGAACATTTCGTCGGGCTTTGGGTGTGTTTGCGAGTTGCCGTCGAAGCTCGTGTCAAGGGAGTTTCGCAGTCAAAAATAAATTAACGAATGAAACGTCTCTCTTTATACATAAATATACCTCTTTCGTTGCAGGCTATTTGTGTGCGGGTACATTTATTGACTCGAAGCAAGATCTACATTGAGTTAGTAGGTGTAATCGACAGCTGAAGCTAGACAGCTACGTACACCAATTTTATGGTTAATTTTAACCTAACTCTAACTGCTACCGACTAATTTTATTACTTGCTTATTGATGTAGCGGCGACGCAAGACAATCCGACGCCAGCCAATTGTAGCTACAGCCATATGGGATTATCACCTCCCCCCCCCTCCACCTCGATAACAAGTCCTTGGATCTATTTTTGGTAAATAAGTGAGTATAATTTGTGTCCAAATTCCGGACACAAATTATTTACGTACGCCACGTACAATTACATTTATGATTTCAAAAACAATTCGAGCTAACTTTTAACAAAAATTGGTAAGAAGCTCCGGTCCTTAAGGAAAAAAAAAAAAATGGCTCCCAAGCGTATCTATGCACTCAGCTGGCATTAAGTATATCATTGTCACTGTGATTCATCTAGTATGGGTGCAAACACTGTTGTACGACTCTGTCGCGTATCATACCCTTAAACAAACATACAGGACACAGCATCGGTCGTACTATGGAAAAAGTATATTTATACTATCGACCCTGTTTTTCTCTTTACTTGGGTATGGTCATATTCATGCCCGTAGTTTATACATGTATTTCGGAGCATACCCGCGCATGGTTCATCACTGAAAAAAAAAAAAAAAAAAAAAAAAATGTCGAAACTCTTTCGTGTCGCAGATATGAGAATATTGCAGCGTATGCCACTTATATGTATAGCTGTGGTTAAAAGCGCAGAGAAAAATGAAAACTGAGAAAAAAAGTGTGCAATATGCAAGTACTTACTGACGAGGGTGACGTAGGGCACGCTGTGCTGCTGGTAGTGGGGCGGGCTACAGGCCTCTTCTGCCCTGGACACGGTGCTTCCTGTTTGCAGCTCGACCACGTGGCCGTCCCTCTTGTAAAAGGCCATGCACATGTAGCCGCTTTGGCTGTCGGTCAATCGAACAACCAGTGCAAATTATTATCATCTTTTGATTCAAAGGCGTTAAAAAGGTTAGTTAATTCATCATATACCAACTTTTTTTCCAACCCCCTTTGAAAGAAGGTACATATTTTTTCGAAAAAAATAACAAAACATAATTCCCAACTTTTCGGATCCACCCAACATGCTCATACATCCTTGTGTCTGCGCACATGCGTATAATTAATATTATACCTATATACATACTCTCAGGTAACCGATACGACAGTATAAATATATATACACGTCATACCTGTACATTTGTGTCGATACTGAGTTGTTGCATGTTACAGCAAATCGGGAATAATGTCATAATAGTAGTATATATATATATACGTAATGAGATATTATCTATTAAGTTGTACAAATGGGTACGAGTATGTGTAATATTCATCCACGCGGCCGATTCTCTAGATCTCCAAAACTCAATTTCTATTAGAAAGGGGCGGCATTGAATGCAACGATAACCCATCATCGGAAGAGCCGCTCATGAGCTTGAAATCAGTACTTATGCTTTCGGGATCCAATATCTAACCAATCGTGTGTCCCGTGTACTTACATGTACAATGGAGCCGGGCATCCAGCCCCAACTTATATATCGATCGCGGCATGGGGCGCGGGGCCGTCACATCTGTGCCTGTGAGTGGAGAACGAGTTTGTCGATGGCACGACCACGACGACGATAATGATTTTCTACTGTACTACGAGCTGAGTAAGTAAATCTTAATGGAAAAAATTCAATTGATGATGGCACACAGGGGATGGATGCAAGTGCAAGCCAGATATATATGAGAAAATCCACACAAAAAATCTCGTTTCATCCCCTACTTACAATTTAATAACAAACATTTTTTTTAGACACACCTTCGAAATAGGACTGATTTTTCTCGTAACGTCATGTACTGTGGGGAAAAAAAAAATTTTTTTTTGAACACGGGTTTCGGTGAGGGTGACACCCTTTTTCCGCAATTCATACATGTTAAAATTATTGTAAATCGCGATACGAGACCACACACACATATATATATATATATATATATACCAATATTCTTGTTATGCTTCTTGCAGATATTTTTATTACCTCATACAAACAAGATGGAAAATAAATTGTATACATACGGCAAGGGTTATTATTGTATTTTATCCACGAGCCATAAGTATACGAGGTATAGGTGTAGCACAAATGATGCAATCAAATGATAAGGACTCACCAGCCGACCGTGAAGTGGGCGACAATCATGAAGATGTTTTGCTCGACGTTGGCCACCTTGACGCTGTTGCAGAGTATCTTGACGCTGTGCTCCTCCTGGCCGGGCAAGTTTAAAAAGTCCGGGTTCTCCGAGCTCCTCGCGCTCCCGTTGGACCTCGCGGTCTGAAGGGACGCGTTGCTCATGTGAAAGGTGTAGGAGCGCGTTAGGTCCAGCGTGTGCCAGGTCAGGCTCGTTTTGCCCGTCAGCCACGTGGGGAACCAACATTTGCCGGGTGACGAGACTAAATGAGCAAATGTAAATATATATATA